GATATTTTGCCCAGCCCTAAATGAAAGAGTACCCAAAATTATTTTCAGGGTAACGGCCAGTTATTATTTTATTTCTTAAACCCTAAAACCTTATAAAATATTTTCAAGGAAGCTCTTAGCAACAGCCACTGAAGAGCAATTCAATTAGATTTTGTTTCAGAATAACGACAGTCCAACGTCCTACCACAATGATCCAGAAATGATATGGTAAAGCCTACAATAAAAAATTAAAACAGCCAAGTAGTTTACATCCAACCAAAGCATTGGTACAGGAGCCGAAGCTGAATATACAACATACAACTCTCGTACGTTCAGCATCAATGTTTCTTGTTCAATTTTTCTTTTTGATCAAAAGCTTTTGCCACTCGTCCGCCACTTAAAACTTAGCTCCATGGGTTGGGTGTAAATAGAGAAATTTTCATTATCCAATCCATTTCTCCCCATTAATTTCCTCCATTTATTAACTTTTTACTGATTGCAGCAAGCTCGCATCGCAATCAAAAAAAAACATCTAACTACTTAAAAGTAGTCTCTATGGCAAACTAGATTTTTTTAGAAACAATTAAATTGAAATTTTCAATTATACTCAAAATCATACAGATGCATTTCTCTAAATTTTTACATACAAGTGATATAAAACAAGCACGCACGCACGCAATCAAATGAAAATCAGACCCTCACATCAAAATCATAAAATGGGCTTCTCCAAGTTCTATAAAACAAGCACGTTCGATCATACAGTCACACACTGAATTACCGAAGCTAAAATCATCACCAACCCAAAAATTAGACCATTATGTCAGATGGGTTATCTGTATAAATACATAAAAATTGCACAAAAACAAAACCAGAGACAGACAATTAGAGAAATAGGGAGTTTGATGAACCTCAACAACACGGGTGGCATGGCCAAAACCATGGCCAGTCACATAATAAGCGAAGACAAGAGGATGCTTTGTTGACTCTTCAGAAACCATGATTCTTGGGATTCACAACAACTTTGGAATGAAGAAGAATATGTACTGATAATTGTTATATATTTGACATCAAGGTGACGCGTCTCTCTTATCTTGTTTTTTAATTTATTATTTTGTTTCTTCGCATTAGTGTCGTGACATTTTAATCAGCTTAGTTAAACACGGCAGGCAGCTCAACTGCACAAGTGAATAAACCTTTTTATGTTCTACTTACGCGATAATTTAGGCATTAATTTAATTTAGGGGCATCATCAACTAAGGAATTTCAACGGTTCTCGCAAATTTATAGGTCCAGATTTTCATTAAAATTTAGATATCTCCAACTAGGCATCCTCCGTGACTTCTAGATTTACAAGAATTTCATTAGTAATAGGATTTTAAAAAATTTAGATAAATTTTAAACCTAAAATTATACATAACAAAAACTCTTACTGTTGAAATCTATTTAAATTCACGAAAATCGTTGAGCCCTTATTTAAGACTCATTTTTTGGGAGTTCTTTTAAAATTGGACAAGTCAAAGGGAGGAAATCCAATTTTGACTTTTTCACTTTTGATTTTTGAATATTACACAATTTGCCCAATGATCTTCAAAAGACAAATATGCCCTTAAATGAATAAAACAATTACAAATTATGATTTTATTAAAAAGATAATACTACCATTTTACTTAACAAATAAAAATCAAACACCTCCAACATAAAACTACAAATTCAGTTCAAACACAGATAAAAACTCTCATCTTCTTCACTCTAGAAATCTTACAAATATCGATAGCAGAAGGAAAAAATTATTTTCTGTCAATTACTACGAATCGGTAAGTATATTTTCGTATGTTTAAT